CGACGGTGGTGTTCTAACTAGCGGGTGTGTGGGGAGCAGCCAGCGCTGCAGGCTGTGTGGACAGCCTCCAGGGATCCCAGACGCTCTGCTTCCCCCCGATGCTGCACTGCCGCTTGGCATGTCCAACTTTGAGCTAAGTGATCACTTCTAGTTGGTAATGTGTTTTAGTCCAGATAACGGGTATAAAAAGAACACTGGAGACTGAAGTACAATGTTGGTTTTTGTTTTATTTCCGAGGGAGGCAAACGTTTTCCTCTGACGGGCAGCTGTGGCGAAGGCCTGACTGTCCCCCATTCTAGAGTCTGGTCATGCCAGGTCTGGGCTGCGGCCATAATAAGAGGAGTTGGGGAGGGGCTGAGCGTGCAGAGGTCAGATGTCCGTGCTAAGGGTATGCTAAGCCCTCCCCTGACCTCTCTGGCAGCAGCCTTTGGAACTCGCAGTACTGGAGCTGGGAGGGGCTGGGCGTGCAGGGGTCAGATGTCCGCGGCTCCCTCCGTGTGCTCAGTTCTGACAGGGTCTGGCAGCCAGTCACCAGGAGGACACACGAGACTCAGAGCCTCTCTTTGACCATTTACTCTGTGAGATCCAGGTAAGGGGGACTGTCTAGCCTGGCAGTTTGTTTTTGAAGGTGATACGGTTGTGGGTCTTGGTCAGTACTGAGTCCTGGTTGAATTCTCCACATCTCTGCCAAATCTCCATCTGAGGCAGGCCTGCTCTTCCGTACCCTGCATCCAGACTTAGGAATCTCCTCCCTGGGGTACACGCAAGCACCCAGGCTCCTGCTCACCCCCAAGGGGCTTCTCGCTCCCCACAGGGCAGTCGGTGAAGAATCCTTGTATTCACTCTTTGCCAGCCTTATAGAGAAGCATTATTTTTGCCTCGGTTTTCTCCTGTTACTCTGGGAGTAAAGGTCTTTCACATCCTCCTACATTCTAGCAGAATGATAAGTCCTGTGAAGGTCATTTCCAACTTTATAGGTTTCAACCCCAGCTGTGAAACTTGTCTATATGTAATAGAATTTTATATGTATGTATGTATGCCATGTATATACGGCATTGTGGCCTTGGGCAAAACCTCTGTTTCCTTGAGCACCTGTTCCCTTATCTGTAAATAGAAATCATAAATGGGTACCTTCTGGGATTGTTCTAAGAATCCTTTGGAAACACTTTGGGAATGAGGAATTGAGTCTGGCTGCAGGCTCTCGTGTGCTTAGGGCAGTCCTCTCCCATCTCCCATTTCTAGGCCTCCGTTTCCTTGTCTGCACCATGATGGGCCTGCTGAAATAGATCTCTCCACGTGCCCGTCCCAGCTCACTAAGCTGTGCACTGTGGCAACGGCGGCCGTGTTGATAGACGCAGGGCCCTTCGTTAGCGACATGGACCTGACCGCAGTACTCAGCTGCTGATGGGTGTCAGCCTTGGTGGATGCACTTGTTCTGATGGGCAGTTAGCAAAATGCCATCAGATAGGTTAGAGACGCTGCGTGGGCCTGATGTTTCGGTGTATTAAACGTTTATTTCCTTGACTCTGTTGGAGCTAGAAGCTTTCTTTGTTGTTTGCTTTGCCTACCCAAAGATCTAGTACTTTCTAGAATTCCTTTTATCATCTGAGGATAGGACGGGGGATACAACCTCTTTAGTGGTTCATGGGATTAATATCTTCCCATAAATGTAGGTTCTTCTTGGTGAATACACTTGTAGAAGTCAGTCTTTTAACTAGTTCAAAATACCAGATCAGTATTGGAGTTATTTACATGAAAGCAGTCCATACAACCTACGATGAGCTGAATTTTACCTTTGAACTATTTATGGAAAGCAGGTTTATGAAATAAATATAAAACAAGATTGTTCTTTCCACAAAAGTGTGTATCATCTGTTCCAGTTTATAAGAACTGTCACACATTATTTTGTGAAAGAAGTGCACAGCAGGCTTAAACTTCTAGGGGGAAAAAAACTGTATTTAAGAATTTTACCAAATACAGTGTGTATTATTGATGCCAGCAATAGTAAGTACATATGGTGACTTTAAAAGAGCTGTGCCCACTCAGCTGGGGGGGGGGTCCTCGCCAGCATCCCCCGTTCCTTGCTTGCCCCATAGAAAAGTGTGATTTGTATACTCTCTAGGTTTTTCTTGTATCTAACTAAATCTCCAAACTCTAGCCAGTAACCCATTTATTTTTAGTAATATCAATAAAATTCAGTAATTTTTTTTTCATTAAAATAATTTACAATATAAGAAAAAAGGTAGGCAGATTCTGGAGTGAGAACCAGTGAATTGCTTGTGTATCATCTTCCCCATTCCATGAACATACTGAGTGGCCCAATAATAGTTAATATTCATCGAAGAACTAAATGGATGTGAGAGGCAAGCAAAGTCAGTGGTTTTCAAAAATCTGTGCGTAGTGCATTCCTGATCCTTGATGCATATGGTGATGAGGAAATGCTTAAGTAACGGGGACCTGCATTCAGAATCTGAGGCAAAGCGGCACAATTGGTCCCTCCGACCTTCACACAGAAGAGCAGCTCCAGTGCCTGTCAGGAAAGCCAGACCTGACGGCCAGGTCCCAGAATGGAAGATAAAGAGAAAACAAAATCACTTGTTCACCTCGAGTAACCAGGATTGGTTCCTTCGTGCAAGGAAGACAGGCTGGAGAGAAATCCTGGGGCCTGAGCGCTGGTACTTTTGCAAGGCCTGCCATCGTCGGACCCAGCAACTTCCAGGGGCCTTTCCGGGGTTTGTTCTCCCTGCCCTCAGGGTCTGGCATCCCCCCTCGGCACCCCTTGTGTCTTCGTGTCCTCACACGTCTTGCCCTGCTTGATCCTGCCAACGGTCACTTGGAACGAGCGAGCGAGCGAGGCCCTGGGCGAGAAGCGGGCTGTTTGCCCAGTGAGGAGCAGCAGCAGGACGTGCAGGAAGCCTTCAGGACCGCAGGAAGGCGGCCGGGGCGGGGCACGGCCCCAGACTGCCAGGTGCCCGCAGGCCACAGGAAGTAGGGGTGGAAACGGGTACCCAGCTCAAGACAAAGGAGCCGGGGCTGAGGTTGGCGGTGGTGCGGGAGCGGATGGAAAACAAGGCAACAGCAAAAACCCGCTCCCAGCCCAGCTGGCGCACTCCCCGGGGGCACTTTGAGCAAAGGGAGCAAGTATGAAAGAAAAGAGATCAGAGCCTCCCGCGGTGACATCCTCCTACGGTGAGCCCCCAAGCAGCCTCGTCCCCCTGAGCACATCAGGAGCCCTGCACATCTACACCCACTGTGCGGTTTTCAAGTGACTTGGACATGGGCAGCCTCTTAACTGTGGTCAGGGGGTTGCTGTTCTTCCCAATTATAACAAAGCCCTCGGCAGTCCCATGGCCGACCCACACTCTCTCACAGGCAGAAAGGACTCCGCGTTCATTTTGAGAAATTTATTAAAAACAAGCGTCACTTGTACATAGAAATAGTCATTTGCACTAAGTATTATTAAGAGCAGAAAAGCCGTTTTAAATATATCTTAAAAATCACAAAATATATTGATTAAGGCACTACATTCCATCTCATGTTTTCAATAAATACGCTGTTCTTTAAAAAGGCAGTACTGCATACCTCTGATTAAATCAACATAGGCACTATACTAGTCAAGGCAGATACACTTTGCTGTGGCCATTGTGTGTAATTTACTCTCAAAAGAACTTTCAGTAGCTAACATTAGCATTTTCTTAAAAAAAAAAAAAATCACAGTTTTCTCTTTCCAGTTTAAGTCTCTTCCAGAGAGACCTAGCGACAAAAGGTGCGGTTTCTTCATATATTCTTTAGCAACAAGGAATTAGGTATAAAGATCACCTCCCAAGAAGTAAAGCCATCAGAGGTTAGATGTCTCAGCACAGCATGAGTCTTTGGAAAAGTATTTTCTCCAGTTGCACTAAGGTCCGCTGGGTTTAGAAAACTCTGGACTTTCTGGCATCCAAGAAGACTGCTTCGTAAGTGCCTTCTGTGCAAGGAGCTTTTTTGCTAAGCCACTGAGGGGGGCCAGAGGCAGCCCCTGTGTCGTACAGTGTAGACGGATCCCCAGACTGCAGGTCAAGCAGCGGCAAGCCTGTCGGTGTCACCAGTACTTTCTAACGATGCCAACTGTGAGAGTTTGTGACCGTGCTCAGCCGCTCCTGAAGCAGGCGCTAGGCATCGTGTGATGGGGACCCCTGGGAGACAGAAGGGTTTCTGGGGTCTTTTCCCCATTCCAGCAGCTCGCTAGTCTGATGGTCTGGACTGGTTTGGCCCGAGCTGCTTCTCCCAGGACACAGTGACCACAGCAAAGAGGAGAAAAATTAACTTCCCACAACAAACAATGCCAGATCGTCTGAGCCTTGGGCGCCCATCTTTTCCTCAAGGCGTCCTGTGTTCTCCAACTGAAAAATCACCATGGAACCGGAGTTCTCTTCACAGAAGGGTGGTAAGACCTCCCTCCTTTCTTAGAAAACATAACTTTCTCGGCCCAACTAGGTTGCATAGATCCGAGGTGTGGCTTGAGCCCCTTAGGAGATGGGGTGGGAGGCAGGAGGTGAAATAGCGAGAATCTTCATGTGAGCCACACCTCGTTGAGGGGTGAGAATTTTTTTTCCCCCTTAAGTCAGTTGTACAGAAGAGGTTGCTCAATCTGGTTCATGTTACTGCTGTGACATTGGGCAAGACTTAAGCTGGAAAATACACTTTACTTCTTGGCAAGTGAACTTAGACACACAGTCAAAGCTTTCAGAAACCTGGGACCTATGTAATCAGATGCAGTAGAGAACACAATTTCATTCTGAAATAACAGTATTGCTTGCACCTGCTAGGAGGTGGTCTTCATTCGGACTTTCTTTTATATATTATTGAAGTTGACTTTAAATTATAGACACAATTTTTACCTCATTATAAAACATGAAAATCAGTCACTGAGAAGCAATCATGTACAAAGCATCTAATCACAAAAACAGGAAAGAGAACCCAAGAGCACTTCGAGAAGAAACTCTGGAGCCGGAGGGCACTTAGTTGTTCTTCTCCAGGGACCGGTAATAGTCTGTCAGGACTTTCCATGCTTTGGGTGCCATGAAGCCGTCTGGGGGGTTCTCTCCTTCCCGGGCCAGCTTCCTCATTCGTGTCCCAGAGATGAAGTCAAACTCGTCGTGCCTGTCACGGGGCAGCCACACACAGCTCAGAGTGGGGAAGTCACCCCGCCCCCAGAGATGCCTGCATGAGGTGACGAGTCTCAGACCCTATCTTTTCCTTCACCTTGGGGAGTGGGCAGTTCACTAACTCTTGAGTAAAGGAACTTGCAGAAGAAAGGGGTGTGATGGCAGCCACACGCTCCACGCTGCCTGGGTACCTACTCTGTCCACGGGCATGTCCCCTGCTGCCACGCTGGCTTCCTTTCCCTTAACGCCTGCTCAAGGAAGACTTGTTGAAAGAGAGCTACTGATGGACCATCTACTGACATTCAAGGGGCCGTGCTACACTTCAGGGGGACACGGAACAGGTAAGACCAGGTCTCGGCCTTCTAGGGACTCTCATCCCACCGGGAGCATGTGGAGATGCCCTTCCACAGATGGTGTACAGATGGTGATTAAAGAACCTTCCTCTGGAAACCTACCTTGCCGGGTCATAGAAGTCCATGGCTTTTTTGGCTTTGTTGTAGGCAGCTACGCGGAATGGAATGATTTCCACCGAGGTCAGGCCCGGGGCCATGCTCAAGACCTTGCCTCCGTGAGTGGGTTCATACAGGTCTTTCTTGGTCTCAGGGTGGGGCATGCCTGCAGGGTCCCGGCCCACGATATAGAAATTGACCCCTGCAATCATCCGGGACCGACAGTGCCACTGGACCTAGGAAACATCACACAAGGGAGATGCTGGTCACCGCTGGCCAGCTCGGGGGTTCCTGTTTACAGAGATGCCTTTGTTCTGCTTTAAAAGTAATCCAGGATCAACTGATGGCTGGAGGACGTCAGTGGAGTGTCTAAGACCCCATGCTCTTCACACTCGCTACATCGGGGAGGGTAGGAGCTCTAGACACGAATTCCCTCCCCACCTCACCCCAGCTTCCTAGAACCCGAGGTTCTGTCTCCTAATCACCCCTCCAGACAGGCACATGGACCAGAAACAGACGTGAATATTACTTTCTAGTCCCTCCCTATTCAGAATAGATCACAGTTTCAAGGAAATTACAAATTCCAACATGTCTGATTATCCGACTGCCAATAATGAGCAGATTATACGAAGACACTGATTCTAGTTCAACACGACATTGGGATTTCAAAATGAATGACCGTGTCTGAAGCTCAGTGAGAAATACAGAGGATGAGGAGGCCTGGCGCTGCGATCTGGTTGAAGAGAATTAATTTCTGAAACACTGGGGTATTCCAAAGCACTGGGACCCTTCCCATTGATCACGCTTCCCACACACTTGGTGCCATGGGACGGAGAGCATCAGTTTGGCGGGCTCGTTGTGCTATGACAAAAGGGGACACCGAGCTTTTAGAGACGAATTCTCCTTCCTAAGGGCGCTCACGGGTGTGTGTGGTGAACCAGAGTGACTGAAACTTCGGGACTTGAGTATGAGGTGCAATACGGTTTGCCCTACAGCCTCAGTCAAGCTGCATTATCCTCCTTGCTCACACGTCAGCTCCACGTTCTCAAAGGCAGTGCGTGATGGGTCTGAGGTGGTGTTTCTAGCATTCTTACAAATACTAAATGGAAACATAATTAAGTTGGATAAAAAAGACTGGAAGATTCCAGAATCTCCTCATGAGAGAAAAGGATCGCAGAGACTCCCTGGCTCCTCTTAAGTAAAGTCTGAGCCCCCACTTCCAAGGCCCCCAGCCCAGCCCAGGGAACCGCTCACCTCCGTGGGGCCAGCGTACAGCATCGGGGAGGGGAAGATGGCAACGATGGTTGACTTGGGGTCCAGGACCCCTTCTTCCAGCACCGCTGCGTGCTGCTTCATCCGCCACTCCAGGGGCACGTCGTCGTCCTTGGTCCAGCCCCCCAGAGGGTGCAGCAGGAGCACGGGGTGCTTGTAGCCCCGCTCCAGCAGCCTGCGGCGGGTGTCCTGCATCAGCAGAGCATGGCCGTTGTGGACGGGGTTGCGCAGCTGGAACGCGAACACCGCATCTGGGAAAGGAGCATACAAAGGCCAAGCTGAACAAAACGCACGTTGTCGCTCGTCCACAAGAACCAAAAAGGAAATGCAGGGGGAGCTCCCCTCTGCTTGCTAGAATTGTTTAATAAAGCCAATTAGATCTTGAATTTTAAAAGAAAGGAAGGGGCGCCTGGCTGGCTCCGTCGGCAGATCATGTGACTCTTGATCTCGGGGTTGGGAGTTCCGGCCCCATAATAGGTACAGAGATGACTTAAAATTTTTTTAAAAATCTTGAAAGAAAGGAAACAGCTATGTTTATTGTTCAGAGCACTCACTATGCCCACTTGCTTTCCAAAGTCATCTGGAGAATCCACCTGGGTCTTTGGGGGTTACTTGGTTACTCCAAAGTCACCCACCAGACCGGACAGAACACCCAGGCAGGAAGCCCTAATGGGAGAGCCTGCCTCGAAAATGAAGGCATCTGTCACCAGGGCCTTTGCCACCAAGCACCACTCAGTCCCCACGTCACCCTCTGCTTCAGGCTCGCTCCTCTAGGGGGTGAGCAATGACCAGCGCCATCTGGGGCCTGGGAAAAGTTTTAACAACCTAAAGACGTGAAAACATATTTCACCTTCACTGTAAAAAAATCTTCAAAACTACTCCACTTAGTGACGGGCTCCTGAGAGGCTTCATTTCCTTCTAGTTATGAAAGAAATATCCATCATGGAAATCGTGGGGAATCCAGAAAAGCCCCAAACAGGATATAAAAACCACCTATAATCCCACCATTAGTTTTTCTCTCTCTTCTTCAAAATTTATAAAGTGAAAATCTTCCCGCCCCTTGGTCTAACTCCATCCCCAAGAGGCACCTGTCACCTGCGGTTTGGGGTGCATGCCCCAGAGACTTCTGCCTCTAGACACAGAAGTAACTTAGGGTTTTAAGAACAATTACTGTATTTTGTTTTCCAAAATTACGCTGTAGAGATTGTTCTGCAATTTGTGTTTTTGCTGAATAAATACACTTTGGGTATTTTTCTGTGTCCGTGCCTATTTTTAACTGCTGCATCCTATTCCAATATGTGGATGTACTTCAACTTTTTAAATTGCTCCAGTCCGTATCAGTACACACATCCATAGAGGTTTCCAGCTTTTTGAAACTATAAAGATGGTATCTCGATTCCTGGTATCTCGAATTCTATAATCAGAGGGTGGGGAGGACTGACAAAGGCACACAAGGCAGTCTACGTACCGGCGTTCATTTCTTTACATTTCTGCTTGAGCTCCAGAGGTGTCAGCCGGTACTGGTCCAGCCCGTCATTCCACCTTATTCTCTCCAGCACCTGCAGGTCTCCACCCACCAGCCAATCCCCACTTTCCATCACCATCTAGAAAGACCGTAAGTAAAGTTGTTGGAGATGAGTGTCGACTTCTAGTTTATCTGAAAACCATTTTCTCCTACACCAAACTTGGGTTAATCCTGAAGAACCGCCTTCCATTCTTAAGCATTTCTAAAACTTTTTGGTCTCAACACTTTTATACTTTTTTTTTTTTTTTTTTTTGAGAGAGAGAGAGAGAGAACAGGGGAGGGGCAGAGGGAGAGAAAGAATCTCAAGCAGACTCCACACGCCCAGCGCTGAGCGGGGAGTCCGGCTCGGGGCTCGATCCCACGACCCTGAGATCATGACCTGAGCCAAAATCAAGAGTTGGACGCTCAACTGAGCCACCCAAGCACCCCATCATCAAGAACATTCTTAACTGAAGCCGGCCCTGTTTTTACTGCAAGTGCTTGGGGTCGAGGGGACGACCCAAGTTGAGCCAGGCGTCTTGAGTCCAAGGGGCCAGAAGTTTCGCCCACATTGCTCTGGCACGGGCAGTACAAAAGTCAGCCCAGTGAAGACAGCACAGGATGTCTCAGCATTACGAAGGAGTTTTGAGACTGGGGTTCTGTGGAAAGGTCTCGGGGACCCCCAGTGTTCTGTGAACCACCGCCAGCACATCCCTCGATACAGCCTGATGTGTCTTAGACTGTTTTCAGTAAGGACCCAAAATAGAGAAGCTGGGGGAAATCAGGCAAGTTGTTTTCTACCGGTTCATTATTGCTGAGCACAGTTTCTAAGGAAACTCTGAAAAGAAACATCCTTCTTTGTTACCTCTAATTTGAAAACAAAAGAAAATGTCCAAAGAGCAGCAATATGTTGCCAAATCCACATCCAAGGCTAAGCACAGACTTAAGTAGCTAAAACCTTACTTTTCTCAAATAATCTTTGACAGGGGCACCAGGACCACTCGATGGGGAAAGAACAGTCTCTTTGGCAAACGGTGTTGAGAAAACTGGATAGCCACATACAAAGAGAAAGAGCCTTATTTTATACCCTGTAAAAAAATTCACTCAAAATGGACTGAAGACCTAAATGTACAATCTAAAACTGTAAGATTCTTCAAAGAAAGCACAGAGGTTACTGTTAATACCCTCACTTGTCAATACCCAGTGTCTGTTGAAGTGACTTTGGGGCATAGTGAGCACCAGAAAATGCACACCTTGACAAGGAACCACACGCTTCCTCCCGCAGCCTGTCTTTCGGGGTGGACCACACAGCCGGGGAAGCAGCCCTATTTCTGGGGAGGGGCCGAGGGAGGGGAGTCTGCGGGGGCGTGAGGATGGAGCTCAGCTACCGGCCTGGGGTGCCCTCCTGGTACAGGACAAGGCCAAGCAGAGAGAAGGAAAGAGGGTTCGTGGCAGGTCGAGAGCCAACTCTTCACACAATACCATGTTCTGGTGCGGAATTTAAATTTGAACCTGACCTTCTAGGTTATTCTTAACGTAGAAGGACAGAACATATTTTATCTAACAGTTTGTTAGTTCGATAGGTAACTTTTAAATATGGAATGTGGGCTTTCATTTGCCTTGGGCCCCACAAACGTGAGGGGTGGGCCTGGCGGGAAGGGTCGTCACAGCAACGGAAAGGAAAAACACGGCCGTGGGATGGAGGGAGGAAAATCACTTAATAAGAATACTGTCAAATCCCCGTACCTGTGCATTTGCTTTCTCCTCCTTGCCCGGAGTCGGGCGACGGATAAAACGTGGAGACTTGCCCCAAATCCCTAGGAGTGCAGTAACTCATAATGGACGCTAGGGGTCCACCCTATATTGTTCTGTTGGTGAAGGCGCCCTCTGTCCAGTTTGGTTCACAACTCAGCCTAAAAAATGTGCCTATCTGATGAACAATGCTGAACTACGCTTCTGGCATTTCTGAAATGGGGAGAGGCAAAGGGCATTTCTCTCCCCAAGATGGCCCAACTGTCCCCAGAACGGAGCTCTCGCTACTACAAGGAAGGGGGTTTCCGTGGCTCTGCCCCATTTCTCAGGCTTTGTGGCCTAAGGGCCCCCAGCTCCTTTTGGGCCTCCTGCTAAAGGCAGGCAGGGGGGCACCGCCGGAGAGTCCGCAGACCTGGGCGCACAGACAGAAATGGGGGACGGGCTTCCGGCGAGTGGAAGGAAGTGTGAGAGGGCAACCGCGCTTGGAATCACAGGAAGGAGGAGGGGGGAGCTCAGACTCCAGCACGAAGACGAGGCGGCTGCGCTGAGGAGCCCCACAGACACAGCCTGGGGAGGAGGCGGGGTACACGGGCTGGAGCGGCAGCCGCTGCTGAGTGTGCGGAGGCACACTCGTCGCAATGGGAAGGGGACGGGGAGCGGGCAGGAAACCAGGAGGAAGTGAGAAACGGCCGGTTCGGGAAAACAGGGTCACAACGAAAGGGTTCAGAGATGAGGATCAAGAGGCAGAAAACTGAGGCGGTCCCCGTGGAGAACATCCCTTCATCTCTGTGCTGTCCCTCCTGGTCCGGAGGTTCTGGGGCGACAAGCAAGGTGGAGAGGACAGGACTTCACGCCTCGCTTGCAGACGAGAGAAGCGTCAGCGCTCAAGGGCGCACAGGCTCTGCCAGATGCCAAGACACCACGCCCAGGACCCCCAAGCCAGGCTGCTCCTCCCAACTGCACCAGCTGCCTCCCCTGAGCTCTGCCTGCAGGACAGGCCCCACCCAGCGAGACGGCCCTTCATCTCCCGAGCGGGCAGAAGGCTGAACAGGTGACAAAACTGTAAGAGCTGGGGCCGCACAAGGGCAAAGTGCTCTGGCAGCATAAAGGAGGCACACCCTGTCACACTTACAGGTCACGGGGAGAAAGGAGGAACAGGGTGGCAGCCCAGGGAAGTGGCAGGGGCGGGAGGAACAGTGTCTGGGTTGAGGGACCAGCACGTGCAGAAGCAGGAGAGGACGACACGCTGGCCCACTACAGAGCATGACCAGCCGGGGATGGGTTGGGCAGGACGCACCAGCTGCAGGACGGACAAGGCTGAGCCAGAGTCAGGAAGGACACGGGGTGGGGGGGGTGGGGGGGTTGGAACGGACGGCTTGGCCCAAGGTGGAACAGAAAAGTGCCCAACATCAAGACGGCCGTGGCGGGGGGGGCAGGGCGGAACTGCCAGGACTCAGCGGCAGAATGAACATGGGAGGAGGAAGACTCCCAGCATTCGGCCGCAGCCAGATGGGGGTGAGGTGCTTGCCGGTGGAGCCAGCCCGGAAAGAGCCCTGAATACTTCTCTAACGCCAGGATCCCAACCTTCACAGCCTCACAGGGAGCGCTCAGCACCAACCCCCAGAACTGACCCAGCCAAGTACTCCCAGGGCCACTGGAAATGCAACAAGGCCCACAGCCACTTTTGGAAGGGGTTACTTTGGGGGGGGGGGGGGAACACCTTTAAGTGTAAATTTCACTGTAAATTTCAAGGTGCTAAAAAAGGGGCAGTGAAAAGTCCCTTCCCTGTAAACGGTGTGTATGGTGCGACCAGCAGACACGCGTCACCCTCTGGGTGTGGTGTGTACGCTGAGTGCCTTCCTCTGTCAGGTTATCCATGGCCCATTTCTCGCCATTAGCTCACTGGGCATGTTTGCAGAGTCTCTCTAACGACCTCATGGGACGGTCACTGACCAGATGACCAAGACCACAGGTCACAGCACCGTATTCCCTGGCTTCTATGAAATTCTGAGCTCCAACTGACGAAAAGATGAAAAGAAATAAGTCTCGAGAGCTTCCTCAGGTGTTTCTTTTAGGGCTACCACAGTGGATGTGGACAACGGGCCCCAAGAGGGGATGTCTCTGGAACAGAGACATCACTCTTCCCTCTCCAGGTCACTGACAGAAGATCAGAACCCAACCCGAGACCATGAGGACCAGGGAGTAGATGAAACAGAGGCAGGATCAAGATGCTCAGCTACAAGGTGGATGATTGTGTCCATCAAATGAGAAGCTGCTTTGCTCATTCACCTCTTGTGTTCAGAGGCCTTGAAAAAGCCCTTCCTCCCTTGCAACATGTCACAACTGAAACAAACGAAACCAAACCAACATCTGCCCAACCAATTCCAGCAGGCTCACTCAAACATCTTTTGTAGGGGCACAGGGATGGAAGAGATCCTGGGGTTATTTTGAGTCTGGCTCCTCCTTTTATAAGGCTTTTTAAAAATTTCAACCCTAATGTTCTCATCCTGGGCGAGGGATGGCTTTTGCATTCAATCTCACATACTTTCCTTTATGGGAAACGGACCACACCCAACAATTCCATGAGACTCTCCAGCCCCACCCCCACCAAGTAGAAGTTGTGAAGGAATCTGAGGAGGTTTAGCCTATTTTGCCTTTAGGCAGGATAGACTCAAAACAATCCTAATCAGATGAACGCATTTTTCAATCTTAAAATATCCACTGATGACAATGTGCTCTTTCCCTCTGGAGACTCTGCCACCGTCTGTGCTCTGCACTGATTTTTGTTTACTAAAAGGATGTCACTGACCACGAGGCATGCACTCTGAGTCTCTCTCCAGTGGTAGGTTGGACCCACTCTGGATGAAGGAATGCGCTTCCCCAGTGAATTTCCAAGATGGAGAGTGCCACAAGCTCTAGCTATGGCTCTGATTTCTGTCCTTTACTCAAGATGCCAGACTCAATTATCGACCCAGTCCAGTTGTTTCCCGTTTAGCAGAGGGAGCCAGCCATCACAGCATCTGAGGACTCGGTGAATCATTCAGAGCAGCTCCCAAACAGAAAAGACACTTCTCTGCCCCTATCTAAAGATCTCTGAAGGCAGAGCCTGCAAGACCTGCCCTAGAAATGCATTCCTCAGGGGGTGCGCCTGGGGGGCTCCGTTGGTGAAGGGTCTGACTCTTCACTTCAGCCAGGTCATGATCTCAGGGTTGTGGAATCGAGCTGCTCGTCGGGCTCCACGCTCAGCACAGAGTCTGCTTGAGTTTCTCTCCTTTTCCCTCTGCCCCTCCCCCCGCTCATGCTCTCTCTCGCTCTCTCTCTCTAATAAATTGATTTTTAAAAAAGAAATGCATTCCTCCATCTGACCCTGGTGTTTCTTTTAAGTCCTTCATGAAGGAATAAAAAGGAATGATTTTTGTCCTAAAGTGAAAGAGATCAAGAAAGCCCTTCCACTTACTTTGATATGGGGGTGTTTTGCACACATTGTCCCCCACACGCGGGAACAACGTTCCTCCTTTCTATGTTCGTAGAATTCAGGGTCTCGTAAGATAGCCACTCTCCGTCCGCCATGTGTCAGGACAAACTCACTGCGCCCCTCCAGCCGCACCTTATCATCCGCAGAGACAGGCAGTACGATGGGGATGCTCATGTTGATCACTCCGTCTAGAGAAGGAACCACGTGATGAGTGAGCATGGGATGCAAGGTGTGCCCTCCTTGAAGCATGACTCAAATGTGCACAACGTCCATTCCAAACATTTCCTGCAAAGGCCATGAAGGCCTAAATCCTACATGGTTGTGTTGGCGGCACCAATTTCCTGAGAGTCTACGATAAGTCCTCGAGAGGCTTCTCAATGCAAGAGATGGGGCATTTGTGAAAAGTGGGCCGAGTTTCAAATCACGGAGGTGGCTTCAGTGAGTGATCTAATCTGGGGGATGAGAAGGGGGCATCTCCCTTCTGAGTTCCCTTTTGAAAGCTTGGTCCTGACCTCAACATACGAGAGAGTTTAAAATCTTTAAAAACCCAATTACACACAATGAAGGTTGGCCAAACAAAAGCCTCTAGTCTTTCTTGGAAATGAACCTTGTAACAACATTGGCCAGTCTCTTAGATTATCTCTTTAGGCTCTAACTGTGGTACCGACACACTGAATTGAAAAAGAAAAAAAAAAATCAGACAAGTAACACTAAGGAGTAGGACCCCAAAGAAGGAGTCCTCCTGATGTTGTCTGTTTCCTGTGGTCCAGGCATGGCATCACCTTTAAATGGTATTGAAAAGACTTCTCTGGGATCACAGCCCGTGCTAGCTCAACTGCAATTGAGAACCATCAGTCAAAAAACACAGACGAGGTAAAACCATAGAAAGTGGATTTACTAGAGCTCATGCACTTACTGTGGAGAGTGAGCGCCTCTCCCCTAAGACATGCTAAGTGTCTTACTTTAAAAGGAATTTAAGTAAACTGGCATTCTGGTTTCTCAGGATACAACACAACAAACTGGAGGGTATGGGATGTGCTGTTCAGAGAATTTCTCATCCCATCTTCAGCTACAACACATGCCTAGGACCAGCTTGACCTCAAAGGAAGAGGCAAGAGAATTACTTAAAAGCTGACCTAGAAACTGTGAGGGCTCATTTTATGTGTCTACTTGGCTAGGCTACAGTGCCCAGATATTCAGTCAAACGTTATTCTAGAGGTTTCTCTGAAGGTATTTTTAAGATGAGATGAACATTTAAAACAGTAGACTTGGGGTAGAGCAGAGTGTCCTCCATAAGGTGATAGGCCTCACAGACTCAGTTGAAGGACTCAACAGAAGACCAACTTTCCAGGAAGAAGAGGGAGCTCTGCCCACAGACTTTGAACTTGAGCTACAAGTCTTCCCTGGGTCTCTGGCCTGCCAGTCTACCCTGCGGATCTCGGACTTGCCAAGGCTCTGCAACTGTGTGAGCCAATTCCTTAAAATCAATCTCTCCCTCTCTCTCTGTCCACCCTACCCTGTTTGTCTGGAGAACCCTGACTAATAAATCAAAAGTAGAGTCATGGGGGGCTCCTCCTGTGTGGGGCCAACAACCCCTCAAGGGCACCGTTACGTTAGAGCTGGGCTCGATAACTGGCAATAACTAGTGACAGTGATGTCACTTTGTAAAGCTTGTCTTTAACACATTTTTAAAAGTGAATATGAAGTTATTTGGGGTTTCTTAGAAGGACTTTTTAAAATGTTTTCTAGGGAAAATGGTTAAAAGATGTAGTTGTTTTTCCGTTTGGGGTTTCAAAGATTACAAATGGGCTTTCTGGAAACATCTGATTTCTTAATTAGGCCAGATAATGTAAAAGAAATGAGCCAGCTGTGTCCCCCCTTCTGTGGGGGCACCTGACATCCACCAACTAGGTCCGTGTCTCTGCTTTAGTCATACATGAGAAAACGGGGCACGCCGTCAGCGTACGACACTGAACAAGATTAGGGAGATCTGGGGGGATTCCCAAGTTCAAGACTCAGAAAGGAACGAGAGCACATGAATAAGGAAAACATTCAACTCCATAGGAAACAAATGGGAGGAAATGTCCCACAGATTAATGAAGTCTTTCAAACCTAAACTTCAAAATCCAATATTTGGAATGCCTCTCATGGGGTTAAAGATCTGAGATCTGAGTCAGCTATGAAACCCGTCTCGGGGCATATCACTTTGCACCTTCTACATACTCTCCAGAAGTTACTAGAGTGTAAAGAATGTCACAGGATGGAGATAGCAACTGCAGGGGACAAAGAGATCCTGTCAAAATCCTGTGATCCCCACCCACCCACCCCCCAATGCCCCGGGGAGCCCTTGTAAACCACAAGTAAGATATCTGCACAGGAAGTCATGGGTTTTGACATTCAAGTGACTTCTTTGTTTCAAAGCTCAGGCATTCCGTGGGCTCAGGTCACCTTCTCTGGGCTCAGTTTCCCGACTTGAGAGATGGGATAGCGAATAATCCATACTTCCTGGGTTGCTGGGGGTGGGGGCATACCGTATAGCCCTTGATCACGGGAGGTGTGTCATCAAAGATCATGAAACCCACCCCGAAGTCTAGCTGAGGAAAGGGGAGAGAGGCTAGCCAAGTGGAACGCCTTCAAGGGTGCCGATGATCTGACTAGAAACCATGTGTTCCGTGGGTTACTGACCACACTGCTCACAGTGACCTGACCAAAACCAAGTAAACCAAAATGCAAAGCCAACGCCATTTTCCTGTGGCAGTTGCCTCCTTTGGTCCACTAGGTTCCTGCCCGAGGTAGCCGTGCACCCATGTTCTTCTTGGCCTTGAGGGAAACCCTGCCCTGGGGAAGCAGCCCTTCCTGATGGGTGGTCAAAAGAGCCAATCCGGGGCGGGGGGGGGGGGGGTGGGGGGGAGGGAGAGGAGTTCCACTGAGTAATGATGCCAACTGACTGCATCTACCCAGAGCTACAACTCCACACAGGACGAACAGCTTGGCCTACCACCTCCCTCAACTCTTCCGCTACGGGAACTCATCCGACAGTGTCACGTTCAGCTGAGGCATCCTCCATGGCTTTCAGCCCCGACTCGGGCTTTCAGCCTTTCCCACTGTGTGCCGCAGCTCTGGGGAAATCTGTCTTACAGCGGGCTGCCTTACTTTGCAAAAAAGCCTTGTGTGCTGAGTCCACGGTTGGTCCAACACACAACTTTTGCATAGGACTGTTCCTAAGCAAAAATGAAATCACGTTTTATTGCTTAACTAGGCTTTTTTTTTTTAGTTGCAGGACTAGAATTCAGTGATTCATCACTTATATACAACACCTAGTGCTCATCATAGCAAGTGCCCCCCTTAATGCCCATCCCCCACCCAGCCCATCCCCCACCCACCTCCCTCCAGCAACCCCCAGTTTGTTCTCTGTCGTTAAGAGTCTCTTATGGTTTGCCTCTCTCTTTTTTTTTCCCCCGTGTTCATTTGTTTTGTTTCTTAAATTCCACATTTGAGTGAAATCCTATGGTATTTGTCTTTCTTTGTCTGACTTCTTTCAATTAGGGTTACTCTCTCTAGATCCATGCATGTCATTGCAAATGGCAAGATCTCATTCTTTTTTATGGCTAATATTCCGAAATATATGATGTGGTATACACCACATCTTCTTTAGCCATTCATCAGTCAGTGGACACTTGGGCTGCTTCCATAGTTCGGTTATTGCAGATAATGCCACTTGAAACATCGGGGTGCATGTGCCCCTTTGAATCTGTACTTTTGTATTCTTTGGGTAAATACCTAATAGTGCAATTGCTGGGTCATAGGGTAGCTCTATTTTTAACTTTTTGAGGAACCTCCATACTGTTTTCCAAAGTGGTTGCACCAGCTTGCATTCCCACCAACAGTGCACGAGGGTTCCCCTTTCTCTACACCCTCGCCAACACCTGTCGTTTCTTGTGTTGTTGATTTTAGCCATTCTGACTGGTGTGAGGTGGTATCTCATCATGGCTTTGAGCCTAACTAGGCTTTTTAAAGGGAAGACAACAATGATGGAAACAACACCAAAGATAAATGATACCTTCACAATTTTGCCTTTCCATTCTGGTAGAATGCAGAAGTTTACAGTCATAGCAACATTATTTATTCTCAGTTCTATAACTATCAATCACCATAGCTTGAAATTAAATTCATGCATAATCACACCACAAAATATAATCATGCACAATCCAACCAGGTGCATCCATTCAAATTGCATCTAAAATTGATTTATCCCTTGATTAAAAATGTTTTATAAATGCAGTAGAAAAAAATTCTAGATTTGTGAATTAAATGAGGACCAGTAGAAGTAATTAGCGGAAAGGATCATAATTTTTTTAAATCTCAGGGACAAAATGTACAACAATAATTTAGAAACAAGTTTACTTTTGTCAGCCAAATAGGACATTATAAACAACAGCTGCATCTGATCCAGAAATTTCCCGTTATTTGGACTCTGATCAACAGAAGAATGTAGCATTATTATTCTATTATAACTGATTGGATCATGAACTGTTAATTCCAACTGGATCATTTGGATTTTTTAAATTATGTTCTTAACCATTTCTAATTAATTTAACTATCTAATTATAGTAATTCAACTACTTGGAAAGTTGAAGTACATACCAGGAAGGACCATGCCTAGAAAAATACAAACACAATTAAGAAACATGTTTTCAGCTTTCCACCAAAATAATCTTAAAGCAACAATGTCAAGGAACAGATTCCTATTACAAAATGTCACGCATATAACGTATAAATATACTGTGCTCTTTGCTACTGCTCTGAAGAATATATAACAGCAAAAGGCTTCTGAGACCAGAATTTGTACTGGATGATGTTCGGTGAGATCCAGAAGCATTACTCAGATATTATCTGTTTTGAAATAATTATAACACATGTCAGCAGCACCTCCAGCTGCAGCAAAAAGTGGTCTCTTACACAAATATGTCATGTTATAACTACTGTCCAATGGTTCCAAACCAGGCTCTGCTAGGTGTAATAGCAAACGGCTCTAGAATGTTCTAGAATCCCAGATGTTTAGAGGACACGAAAGTCTACGTAGCAGAACAAGTACAAGAACTACAGCCAGGATAACTTGGATTTGAATCCAGGCTTCAGGTGAGTTACTTAACCTTTCCAATACTTATTTACTCATATGAGCAAAATATCTTCACAGTAGTGTTATCTGGATTAAATGTGATATCCTGTGTGAAACGCTGGGGTCAGAACACATTAGGTGCCGGATAAATGCTGGTGGTATCTATGGAAAGCCCTCAAGCCCCCCTTGGCAACTCAGAGCTGTGAAGGACTTGTCATCAAACGGTCAGTTCTCATGAGGTCGCCATGTCGTGACTCTCCTTGGAAGCCACCAGGCAAGAACATGAGCTCGAGGTTCCATTTTTTAACTTAGGTGAGATATTTATGACTGGAGGGTCTGTGACAACCTCCAAACTAGATATCCAGTGAGAAATAAAGTGATATAATAAACCAATGAAAGTAGATCCTTGAGTGATAGAGGGAGTAACTCCTGTTGTGTAAGCATCAGAAACACTTAAAATTTTTTTTTTTTTTTTGCTTTTGGACTGAGTAGACTGAGTTTTTTTGTTTGTTTCTTTGCTTTGTTTTGCTTTTTAATTTAAGGGGAAATGTGAACTTTTGAGAAAATTAAAACCAACAAAGTATTTTTGGGAGACGTGGTCCAAATTAAAAAATATATATATTGCCTGCAGAATGCAGGTGATCAAGAGATGTGCAATTGTTTGATGGCAGATGACGGTGGCTACACGTCTGTGGCTCCAGAAATTTCAGATTTTCAGTCAGTGGTGACTCATGACTTTCATGAACTGATTAAAATTAAATGATATCCATATGAATGAGATCTTGTTCGACCTTCTGAGATACACATATATCACTTTTTGGAATTTAACTGTGTCTACACAGCCCAAAAGCCATCAAGGGGAGCTCTCCCCGGAGACTCATGGTGTGGTAAGAACCGTGTTAAGTGGCTTCCTCTAGACATGCTCAGGGCTGCTCTCCAGGTGGGAGGGAGGCCAAGCCCACCCCTTCCACAGCAGCAGCTCCATTTTCATCCGCTGTATACACTGCGTCAGAGTTCACGGACATAACAAATGATCTGGCTTAAAAAAAAAAAAAAGGCTAAGGGGCGCCTGGGGGGCTCAGTCAGTTGAGCGTCTGACTCTTGGTTTCGGCTCAGGTCATGGTCTCAGGGCCATGGGATCGAGCCCTGTGTCGGGCTCTGTGCTCAGCGGGGAGTCGGCTTAAGCCTCTCCCGCCCTCTCCCTCTGCCCCTACCCCCTGCTCGCTCGCTCTCAATAAATAAATAAAATCTTTAAAAAAAAACAAAAGGCTTGACAACTACTGATATGGGGAGAAGAACCCACTGTACTTCCAGAAAACGGGCTGTACTGTCTGTCCCCGAAAGCTCACATCTGTCTTCATTAGCACTCTATCTCCAGCTGCTAGAACAAACCTTGGCATATGAGGACTCTCGATAAATATTTGTTGGCTGACGGATGAACATCTTATCTGCGCTACTTCCAGACTGATGTAACTATGGGGGAGCCTTCACGACTTTGACGTCTTTTCATTGTATGGGGGGAGGGTGTTAATATAGGGAACATTTATTACTGGACCAGTTGTTCCTTAAACTTTCCTCATCCCCATGGGGTAGGTTCTGGTATTAGCAGCCCCATTTTACACAGGAGGGAACTGAGGCCCGCAGAGTTAAGTAAGGTGCCCCAGGTTCATAGCAGATCACTAGCCCATGAACCCAGTTCGGCTCCACAGCTCACACTGTGCCCCACTATGATATTAGTGGTTAGTGGTCCTAACCCCCACTGGTGGAGCCACCCCGGCAACCGCAGGAGAAGAAAGGCCCGGGTTCAGCTCACAGGGTTGTTCCGTCCCGTTCCCTGACGCTGTGGGAACTAGCAACTGCTAGAGAGTCCTCAGCTGAGGTTCGCGCAGAGCAGGGGGACGTCTGCCTTCCCACTTGACAGAGAGTCTGTGAGCTGCCACAGGCCTACGGGGTCCGAGGACAGTAGTGGCTGGAGTGAACGGGCAGGGGCTGCACCTCCGTGGGTGCAGAGAGCCACGTGCATCCACGCGGCAAGAGGCCCATGGCCGTGGGCCTGACTCGGGGGCACAGGAAACACCCCCTTGAGAACTCCCACAAGCACTTGGGTGTGGGTTTTCGGAAGAACTGGGATGTCTGCATGAGCAGGTAGGAATAGGGAGCTAGCGGAAGTCCAGTATTAATGGGGGAGGGACCTCCCTCAGCTCCGTGCTGCTGGGCTTCGGGGGCAAACACGTGGGGGCCCTGGGCAGGGAGGCCTGTACCAAGGGCTTCGTCCTTGGTAGCGAGGACCAAATAAGAAAAAGAAAATCGACGTGTTTTACAAACTGCAGAACACCATAAAATGAAATCAAAAGGGTGTGAGAGGGAGGGGGCGAGATGTGCCTCAATGCTCCGGATAGAGCGTTCGCTGTCCTGCATCTTTCTGGATCACAGACTCCTTTAAGAATCTATCAAAAGCTAAGAACTCTCAACCCAGCAAAACACCCATTCTCCCCTTCGTAAACCACAAAGGATTTCTGCCTACTCTACGATGGTTTTTGTCCCCCCCATTCTGAAGTCCTAGACCCCGGGTGAAGGACCCCTGACTTCTTCCACAAGCACACCCAGTGCCCCTGGCACTTTCCTTTATGGAGCAAGTCCTAGTCACAGGTGACAACGCTGTGTCTCTAACAGAGCCCTCACTTCCCATGTGGTTTGCTCATCTTTTAGCCACAGCTCTGGTTGGGATGCTCAGGGTCAACCTCTTGCCCGAGGTTGGCTGCGGCATCCAGTGACATTTACTTAACACAGCCTGTGTCCCGTTACGTGTCAGAATTAAGACATCAAAGTAAGTGTCAGCCTTCCTTGTACAGACGTCCTGACCGTCTAACTTCTATCGGAACGGACGCCAGGAGAGCAGCCTTGTAGGGAAAGCATTGGGCCAGAAGGCAGGAGATTGTGGTCTCTGGTCTTGGACCAGTGGTATGAACTCGGGCGAAGCACTGAGGCTGGGATCAGCTTCCTCGTCTGTAAAGGGGGGTGATCATAGTTGCCTGATCAAAGCAAATCACGCCTGAGAAAATGCTCTGCAGATGGGCAAGTGCTGTACAGGTATGGTTATTATTGCTAAGGCAAGCCAGAAGGGAACCAATTATATTTTGGAATGTTATTTTATCCCCCTAGGCAGAGTCACAAGCCTGGGCCATGAACATCTTTTCCCAAGAAAGACTATCTGCCTTGATCTTTCTTCCTAAAAGGTCTGAAGCCCTGCTCGGTGTCACAGACTCGGTGTGTCGTCTCCCCCACCCCCACCCCCGCCCCGACCCGGCTCCCCCCACTAGCAGCCATTCCTCAGGGGCTTGAAACAGACAAGTTCCATTTGACAAGCTCAGGCCGTTCTGGGAAGGAAATGATCACAGAAGGGGCCGGAAGTTTTCTGAATAACACATGCTTCCGATCTGGACCAGATCAGCTCTCTCAAGTCATTTGGCCTGTGCCCAGAGGGCGGACTTAGCGCTGCCCCGGGAGGGTTCGGAGGATCCAGTGCATGCATGGAAGGGCATGAAGAGCATCCAGTGGCCCAGCAGCCCCGGGGGTGAGAGGGCCCCTGCGAGTCAACCCCGTGCTCTAAGTTCACCCCTGCTGCCCCATGATGGTCCCAGCAGCCGGCAACCAACGGGGCCCCCCCCGATCGCCCTCTACCCTGAGTATCCGGGCAAGTAGAGTGAAAAAGACTTAACCTTCTCTTGACTTTGTGTGCAAGTAAAAGCTTCGATTTTCAGTTCCTTACTTTCAAATAGTCAATAATCCTTTGAGGATAATGCACCCCCCCCAAAAAATCCTAAAAATGGAATTTATACATAATAGAATTAGACACACCATAAATCATCTAAATATCTCCAGAGTGAGAGGTATGAACCAAGAATTAATACCAGGAATGAACACTTCTTGTTCCTGTGAAGATTTCTGAGCACGATTTTTTTCTTTAACAATGAAGAGTAAGAAACAAATAAAAGCGCGTACCGTCCAGCAGGGTATCAAAGTGTATGGCCTGCAAGTATTCCTTCTCCCGCATGAAACCCTTGAGGGGAGTGGCCCAGCCTTCGCTCAAAACTTGGACCCACTGAAGATCCAGCTGCAAAACACAAAAGCAGGTGAACATTTCCATAAGCTCTGTTTCCCAGCCATCTGGCCCCAGGGCAGGCCTTTCTCATTCAGCTGGCAGAGGAATGAAGGCAGAACCTTTCATGTGTTAAGTGGTCCGTTTTGATGCCGACCCACGATCAAGGGGCCAGATAAGCTTGAGCTAGAACTTTCCTACCGGAGAGTGGTGATCTAAAATTGAAGTGCAGAGAGCCTCATGATGGACAACTGTGTTAACATCTGCTGTTCATGCTTTCCTTTTTTTTCCCCCTACAAAAATTCTGGGCGGGCTATATATTTTCACCAAATGTACTAGGTAGTTGACTGAAATTGGCAAATCACTGACTTGAAAAGTCCAAAATTCTTAGCATGATACTGAAAGCCCTTCAAGCTCTGGCCCTTTGGGCTGATGTAGAGATTTCTACCTCCTCCCAGGCCCAACCTCCTCCCCACCTGAAATTCCTATTCATCCTTTAAACCCCGAAGCATGGCTGTGCTGACCTTTCCTGCCATCCCTACGACCAAAACAATGCTGAGATTATTTGAAGGTCTTTTATTCCTTGCAGCCCATTTTGTTATTGGAACTATCATTCCACACTGTAATTATAATTATGTACTTCTCATGCTCCTGGAGCACTGGAGTACTCAGAATTTCTTCTGTAGGGTCAGGGGCTTCTGCTTATGTATTTGCCATACCTTCTTCAAAGAGGTATGAATGAGCTGCAACAGGTTCCCAGCTTACTCTGGTTTTAAGGTTTTAAGGGATAAGATAAAGTTACCAATGAAGATCTGATCAGCCGGTAAGGACCAATAATACCCATACAAAGCCAAAGGCATCTGCCGTGCACTTGGTGGGACTGCAGCCTACACGTTCCAGGAAGTAAAATCAGTGTGACCAAAAGGTCTACACCTTCTCCTGAGGCTGGACTCTGCCTCCTTAGGAAAGAATGGGATTTGCAGAGTACGAAAAGATTCCTATCACTTTAGATCAGGGTGGCTCTTTGTTTTCTCCAAATTCCTTCTGGATTGTCCAAAAAAAAAAAAACCCAAAAAAACCCTCGCATTCTTTTTTTTTTTTTTAAACTTGCATTCTGAACAAACTTTTCTCAGCAGCCACCAACAAATGGATACTGCCCAATGCCTGCACTTTGGCATAACTGAAGATATAATGACTACTATTTGACGCTGTCCTCTGCAAAACAGAAGTTACCTGCCCAGTCTGCCTCTGCCCCTGGCACTGACCAGCTACCTTGTGGCAGCTCTTGGTGAGAGATTTGCTTGGCAAGAGGTTTTTAAAAAAAAAAAAAAAAAAAAAGCAAAAATGAAGTGTTTTTCTTTAGGGACATTGCATTTCCCTTATCCATACCTTCCTTATTATCCAGAGTGATTGTAAACAGATTATAATGATGGCAATGAAGCCTAATTCTCCTGGGGCCAGCCCGCACCATCCTACCTTGGTAATTTCTAACGAAGGGAGAGCTTCGGCCTCAGCCTGGACCTGGTCAAGTTTGTTTTCTGGCACGAAGAGCTCATGGATGCTTTTCATGATCGTGTGGGGTACAATGTTCTGAAAGGAAGCAGAATTGGTAACAATTTGAAATGAAAACTATAAAAAGAATGCTTTGGTAAATAAATGACCTATTGTGACTTTATGCAATTAAAAAAAACCAAAAAAGCGCCCTGGTCCACCCACCTGCTCTTGCAGGAGCTCCACCACCTGCTGGACACAGTCACTCACTGAGGACAAGTTGGTTTTCAGCACACACTCGGGGGTCTCGGGTTTCTCATAATCAGAATCAATACCCGTGAACCCTGCAAATCAGGAGAGCGAAAATCACATCGGCACCAACGGAACAGGCTTGCTAAACAGTAGGGTTTAACCCGTGTTGGAATAATGCGTTACACTTAGAATTCAGGTTAGACCAGAAAAGGTCATCAGCTGCCCCTGACCTCTAGCCATAGGTAAATATATATCTGTATATATTTACCTAGCTTTATTTTCAATATAGAAAGCCCCCAAATTATCAACAAAATGTGGCTAGGACCAAGCCCTCTGCAGCTGATTAGAATCCAAAGGAAGACGAGAAGAAGAAAAAGCTCTGGAACCCTCCCCTTAGACACACACTCATGGATACACACTCATTTCAGGGACCCGAACTTGACCGCTTACGGCTGAGGTGACAGTTCTTGCAAAACACCAGGCCCCATGTTAATGGGCCCGTGGACATATTGAATATACTGTGGTTCGATAAAAAGTTGAGCGTGCTAGATGCAACTGTGGAAAACAGTTCTTGAGACTTCAGACAGGTTTCTGGAGACGGAGCACGAAGGCTCGAGAGCACAAGGTTGCTGGCAAAGGGGCCGCCGGGCTGGCGCTCCTACCTTTGATCTCCCCGGCTCGGGCTCGCCTGTAGAGGCCTTTCACGTCTCTACTTTCGCAGATGTTTAGAGGTGCATCCACAAAGATTTCAAAGAACGGCAGTCCTGCCAATTCATGGATTTTGCGGGCATTCTCACGATCCTGCAAGGGGGCGGGGGGAACACATTCGAGAAGGTGAGTGAGAGGTTTGGCAATGGAATTCTTCATCATGAAACGACGTGTGCTGTGGTGCTTGATAGCTTTGGGTTAACGCGGCGTGCGGGCTCTGCAGAGGTGGCAGGGAATCGGTCCTTTAGAAAAAGTCCAGAAATTTCCTGGTTTAGAACAAGAAGAGTGTCCCTCTTCCTCAGCGATTTCAACATTAAGCACACACGACCTGAGGCTTTGGCAGTTAACTGCTGTTTCCCTTAGCAAACTAAGCTTTCCAACTCTGGAGATGCGAGATTACGGGGCTTTCGACTTTTTCTTGTTTAACCTTTTCTTCCTTTCAACTCTGGCCAGAAGGTGAGTGTGGAAGGGTCTATGTCAGCTGGTGTCCGGGCATCTGGAAACGAAGGAGCTCTCTAGACAGGACCAATATTAAGTAGAGGAAATGAGGGAGCAAGGGCAGAAAAGGCGGGGGGAAATTGAACCTACAACAGCCCTGGGGGCCCAGCCCTCACCGACTCCTTCTCCAGCCCTGTGTGTGCCGCCCCATCCTTTTACCTTGGCAAAAGGAGAAATGAAGCTGGTAATGCAGACCAAACCAGCATCGGCAAACAGCTTGGCCACCTCGGCAATCCGGCGGATATTTTCTTCTCTGTCCCCGGGGGAGAATCCGAGGTTTTTGTTAAGGCCGTGACGTACATTGTCCCCATCGAGGGAGTAGCACGGGATGGCGTGAGAGACCAGGTACTCTTCCAAAGCAAAACTGATTGTGGTTTTTCCAGCGCCGGAGAGACCTGTTCATTATAATCATTTAACCTCAAATCAAAACCACTACAATCTAGGAAAAGCATAGTTTACTGCAGGTCAAAGTATCTGCATTTCTTCCGATGGTCGAAATTGTCCCCTGTTAGAATTACAGCATTTCAAAGCAAGTGGGGTTCATGAGTAGGGGGGCCTGGGGGGTTGTACATGGTTCTTGGGGGGTTCTATTTTGCCTGCAGCGTGTTTTAAAGGTGAGAACACTGTGCATACAAATCCAGATTCTGGCTTCTCTTGGAAAAAAAATCAGAAGATCTGGCGACCGTGTTCTCACGTCCCCTCCTGCCAGCAATCAGCTGGAGTGGACAGGACAGCCAGTCCTGGAGACTGGGAGGCCCACCTCTCCTACGGAGGCTGCTAAACAAACCATTTGACAACAGATCCCTTTGGCTTCAAGATTTTTCCAAAATGATTCTCAAAACATGAAGAGAGTCAGCCCGAGCTAGCCTATAGATGTGTTTTTGAGCTGCCCTACACTCTTCGGGGTCTGGAGCCTTTCCATGAGAACAGAGTTACCATGTGCCTTTTACCACGGTTTCAAAGCGCATTGGCGGGGGACACACTGTATGATTTCTATCAGGGAAATCATGAGGAGAAAGGGAGCGCTCCAAAAATCTAGTTGTCCTAAAGACCTCTGGACCTGAAAAACAGGGCACCGTGCCAAGCCTCTGTAGGGGAGTACCCAGGCGTGGGAGAGGAAAAGTTAGGGTGAAGAAAAGAAGGTCAAGAGCTTAACATGTACAAGATGGCAGGAGGAAGGAGGGAAAAGACAACAAAAGGTGAGAGACAAGCAGGGACGAAGGACAGAGGGGCTCCAGCTCAGTCAGTGGTGCACGCGACTCTTGATCCGGGGTCAGGAGCTCGAGGCCCACGTTGAGTGCAGAGGTTACTAAAAAACAAACTTTAAAAAAACGACTTGGAAAGAAAGGTGATCTACGAAAGGCCAACAGCTTCCACGGTGTTAGTTACGTTTTCAAGTCACACCCGTGGCCCTCACAGAGAATCACGAGAAGCAAGGGCTCCACGAGGGAAGGGCCGCCATCTTTGTAAATCATTGTTGAAGACACTATTACGTTATTTGTGTGGCTCAGTTTCATTCGAACAGGGACCTAGGTGATAAATTCCTCTTAGAATTGTGCCCAGTGTGAGGTAGAAGAATCAGAACTCCTGTTCTCTCACATTGGAAAATGAGGGAAATAATAGAAATTTCTTTCAGTTTTGCCTCAGGTCTCAAAACGAAGAGCTACAACACAGTAACTGGATTGAATTAGATTGTTGGCATATTTAGTTTAATGCACTGAGGTCGCACGAATTACACGTCCCAAGAGCTTTATTTCCTATGGGCCAGGCACTATGCTGTCTACACATGCTTTATTTTATTTAGTCCTACCCCTATTCCCAGGGGCAGGTTCTATCCTTATCTCATTTCACAAATAAGAAAATTGAGGCTTAGCCAGCTTAGTTGGCTTGTCCAAAATCACACAGTTAATGTAAGTGCAGCTGGGGGCTCACAACCAAGTCTCTGGATGTGAAGTATTTGTTTCTCTTGGTCGGCCTGCACAATAGCCTATCTCTGTAACATAAGATTACAGAATAAATTGGGAAAAGATTTTTTTTTCTTTTTTTTTTTTATGAGTAAGAAAAGACGGGGGAAGTCCATCCCTTAGGGTCTTTTTCCTCTTCTAGCAGTTACCTTTTGTTGTTAAGGCTGTTCCACATCATAGAAAGTGGACTCTGTGTTTGTCCCAATAGATATTGGACAAACCCATGAGCGCAAACACGTAACAAGAGGGAAGCTTCTGGAAGTCAGCTGTTTTATCTACTCCCACACAGCATGTCTCTTAGACGGAGTTGGGGGGAACATCCCGACAGGATTCATGACAAGTGAACCAACGTTCACTTTTTGGAATATAGCAAGTTCCTCGCCCGCCGTCTGTCCCCAGCCCACCAGCTGCAGAAAGGTGTTGCACCACGGATGAATGAAACCAGGAGACCAAAGGCAAGTGCCTCGGGCACCAGGAAAAATTTTGAAGGAGGAGGAGGAGGCTGATGGAGACAGGGAACAGGAATGACTGAAGAGCAAGGGAAGGGGTAAGGCAGGTGCCTGCCTGCCACACTCTGCAGCATTTCCTTCAGGTTGGATTAATCAGCATTTGGGTTTTGGGGTTTTGTTTTTTTTTTAAAGATATATTTATTTATTTGAGAGAGAGAGAAAGAGAGCAAGCAGGGACAGAAGGAGAGGGACAAGCAGACTCCGCACTGAGCATGGAGCCCGATCTCACGACCACGAGATCATGACCTGAGCCGAAATCAAGAGTCAGTCACTTAACCCACTGAGCCACCCAGGCGCCCCAATAAATCGGAATTTATGAGCAGGCAGTAGCACTCAGCTGGTCTCAGAACCTGGGTAAACATCTTTGCATCAGTTTGAAATACCATGTCTATGGTATTTCCTTTTGAGTCCGGGCTACGCCGGACTTCTATTCCCAGGGATCAACTTCCTCTACCTTGTGCTCAGAGCCTAAGGGAACAGCCCCAGACTAATTTCTGTCCCGTCACTAAGTCTTAGCTGTGACATTCTGAGGCTATAAAAACACAGGAAAAGGGAGAGATGCACTTGGTCACCTCCGTGGCAGTGAATTATTTCTATTTACAAGGGGTAATCCTCAGCTAAGTGGAAATCACTGGTTTTCCTTCCTGTGCAGATCCTTCTGTTTTCAGTTTTCTGTTTTTTTTATATTAAGTGAAACAGTCCTCCACAATGTTAAAACATCAGAAAACAATAAAGAATATCTCTAAACACCCAAAACCTTGTAGACAGCCAAACACTCGCTGTCGAGTTGGGAAGGGTCCATCATGACTGCCAATAAATGCGTTTGGGCGCAGGCCTGAGAATGACAGGGTCCCCTCAAGCTGAAGTGGGGGGGGAGGCCCTCGTCAACTTGCCCCTTTCCTGCCAAAGAGGAGACAGGCAAGAACGAGAGAAGCCCACGCCTCCATCTTAGGCCTGCTTCCTACTCATGGCAGCAGTAGGGGTGATGGCCAGGCTTTTTACCACTGCTCTCCGCCTCATCCCAGTGTTAAAACAAACACATCATGTGTTATGCTAAGTTCCTTCACGTCGTATGTCACACATCAATTTTCAAATAAAACAAAGAAAGGACCAACGCGGCATACCAGTCAGCCACACCGTACATCCTCGGAATCCACCCCTCGTGCCAACGACCTGCCCTCTCTTGTTCCTGGTCACGTGGTGGGCCTGATAGATGACATTGGTGGATTTCTGCTGGCTCTCCTACAAAACAAGACCAAGCCCAGTACTGTGTGAAGGACAGAATACAACAGGTATACCTAGAAGGATAATACAGTATGTATACATGTACTAATTCAATAACTGTACATATAAGACAATGTGTATACTATATATACATATAATACACACGGTAATACGATATGAATACAATAAGTATATATACACATATGTATACAGAAATAATAAAATAAGAGGACAGTAATAGTCACCCCTAACCGAAACCCCTCTTTTATGACTGGCACACAGAGTGACATTTATTAATTCTACTAAATCAGAAAAAGACACTGCCTTTAGAATACCCATCATGACCCTCTGAAAGTATAATCTGAATGAGACAATTATTGACACGATGTAAAAGTCTGGGTTCTGTGACATTTAAAAATGTGCACCTCTAGGTAATGGTTAAGGGAATGTCTTTGTCTCCAGAAGTGCATGTTCTCTACCAGATCCTATGGAAGTCGACGGGAAACAGCCCAGCTCATCCAGCCCCATGGGAAGTCCTGGGGAGGGGCTGGCTAAGCCCCACTCTGTACGGAGCCAGGGAGAGGCACTGATCACAGAGCAAAGTGTTGAGTCAGGGGCAGCATCTTGGTCCCACACAGACATGTTTTTCAAGCACAGTCCCTGAGCGAGGTACGGCGCGTGAGGCTACTTTTTCTCAAGCTCTACACTCTGTTTCCACTTTCCCAAGGGTCAGTGTGTGAACTTTTAATCTTTCAGAAAGCCCTGCAGAAATAGAAATGGGCCAGTTATTAGTCTTGGAGGCTAATGCAAATCTCAAATATCTTTATTTTGGCTGCAATAAAATCAGCCAGTAAGGGCAGAGATTATCTGATCCCGATCCTAAACTCTGGATGCTATGAGTCTGATGAATAAAAATGGTAACACAAGCCAATACGTACAGTTGCTGGTGGACATTTCTAAAATAGTATGTGATCCAAGGGCGGGGGGGCGGGGGGTGTGGAGAACCCATCATGGTGGTTAAATAAAAATGTTGGGAACAACTCCTATATGTCTTTGGTGTGGTAACTGAATTTCTGTTGACAGATGGAATCCAAGTCTCTGAACTGTAAAAATCTACGGAGCCTTTTAAACAACACACATGTAAATCCACCAGAGCTTAAAAAAAAAAAAGCACTGATATTCTTTGAGCAAGACCCAGAGAAAACTCTGAGACACATGTGGACCATTTTATATTCCGGAGCAAATTAAATCACTTCTTTACGGCACCTCATTTGGGGAAAAACAAACAAACAAAAACACCAAAAAGGGGAATATAGCTAGGACTGTTTGGGGGCTTACAGGAGATACTGTGTGGGAACAGACTCTGTAAACAGCCAACTCCTCCTCCCAAACAGATGCTGAAGATGACTAGTGAGTGTGTATACCCACAACAGGAGAGGCCGGGAAAATGGCTTCGAGAGCAAGGTGAAGGAGCCCCCTTGCTGGCCGTTGGGGGCGCAGGAAGGCGGCACCCACCAGGGGGGCTGGGCCCGCCAGGGGGCCCGGAGCCCAGCAGAGGCACAGCCCAGGCAGGAGACGGGCATTGCCAGGGTCCGACGGAGCCAAAAGGAAGGTGCTGAGGGCACAGGTGGGATCAGCTGGGTGAAGTTACATAAATCTTCTGAGGCTAGATGCACTGATCATCGTTCAGGCAAATGCGCTGATCATCCTTCCGTCAGAACCCAAGAAGCACTGGAAGCTTCATAAATGAGGTCAAATTAGATGAGCTCTGGAGATATTCTAGCAGTATTCCCCCTGGCTGAACAAATCCCCTGAAGGGATCCCGAGTCCTTTGGGCAAAGTGTCATTTATGGCTCAAGGACAACAGTCACATTGCCTTTTTCTGTTTCCTTGTTAATCACTGCTTTTTAGTCAAGGAAATTATATCTGGATATCAGGCCCCAAAGTCAGTGCAACTGTTCATTCATGGGCTCTCTCAGCAAATGTTCATGTAAATGAGCCCCTACTACCTGCCAGGGCCATCGTAGGCCCTGGGAATCTAGTGCTAAACAAAGAAGGATCCCCAGCATCACCTTGGGGGGAAATACAGGCAAAAAGATCAAGTAACTGGGGTCCCACGCCCTGTGGAGAGGGTCTCTTACACATACTTGTATACCATATGCAGATATATAAAGAATACCCACAACTCAACAATAAAATGAGTAAAAAATCTGAACAGTCACTTCACCAAGGAAGATACACAAATGGCCAGAAAGCACATGACGGGCTCCGTGTCGTTAGTCATAAGAGAATGCAAATTAAAACCCACATGAGACGCCTTTGCTAAATCTAATGGCAACGAGGACATGCTGTCATGTTGACAGTGGAGGTATAAAGTGGGACAACCATCCCAGAGAGAAACCTGGCAGGTTCTTCTAAAGCTAAACATTTACCTTCCCCGCGACTCAGCAATTGCATACATAGGCATTTACTCAAGAGAAAATATGTATCCACAAAAAGACGTGTACAACTTTATCTGGACAAAAACTGTAAATAGCCAAGTAACCATCCACAGGAAAATAGATCACACACACACACACACACACACACACCCCAACCACATCAGAACAGCAGTTGTCCTGAAAGGGTCTGAGGTACACAGGTGTTGGAACTCACCAGACGTATACGTAGATGGGCATCTCGTTACGTGTAAATTTTACCACACACCAAAAAAGAGCCATTAAAAAGGGGGGGGGGCGCCTGGGTGGCTCAGTCCTTAAGCGTCTGCCTTCACCTCAGGTCATGATCTCAGGGTCCTAGGGACTTGGGTCCGCTCTCAGGCAGGTCTGGGAAGGTGGGGCTCAGGAGCACATCAGGCACCAGGCAGGCCGGTTGGTACTTTGCCTGGGGTGAAGAGTTACGCACACGATATCCTTGCCGCTGCTGCTCCAATTATTATTCTCTTTGACCCCAAAGTCCAGAGTGCTGATCGAGCCCCGCATCGGGCTCCCTGCTCGGCAGGAAGCCTGCTTCTCCCTCTCCCACTCCCCCTGCTTGTGTTCCCTCTCTCGCTGTCTGTCAAATAAATAAATAAAATCTTCAAAAAAAAAAAAAAAAGTAAGCAAACGAGAGAATATATACCAAGACTCACATGGTGGAATTCTCTTGTTCAACCCTGCTGCCTTTTCCAAAAAAGGGCTCGGGTTCCAATCACAGCATACTTGACTTAAGGGGTGGTTGCCCACCTGGGCAACTGAACACCCACCAGAGCTTCATTTGTCCACAAAGATTGTTTTTTCTCCTCTCTTTTGGCTGTTTTTCCCTCCCTCCAGGCAGAGATCCAGAATAAACTCTAAACTTTGTTAATCTGTGGAAACTTTGTTAGGATCTTGTAAACTGCGTCCCCAACCAAGGGCTTGGTTTTCAAAAACCGTTCAGAATCCATGGGAAAGAACCACCACTATAGTGGTTAAGAGTTCACCTCTGAACTTTTTGGATTTTTATTAGCTGAATCTTCATCACGGGTGTTTGTACAGGATTTCTATCATTCCAGCAATGTTTGGGCAAACAAAATCTTTTCAGATAGCCAGGTACTGGGCTTTTTGGTTCAGCAGAAAGTATTTTGCTTCTTTTTTTTTTTTTTTTTAAGATTTTATTTATTTATTTGACATGGGGCGGGGGCGGAGGGAGAGAGCAAGCACAAGCAGGGGGAATGGCAGGCAGGGGAGAAGCAGGCTCCCCGCCGAGCAGGGAGCCCGATGCAGGACTTGATCCCAGGACCCTGAGATCATGACCTGAGCTGAAGGCAGACGCTTAACCGACTGAGCCACCCAGGTGCCCCAGTATTTTGCTTCTTATTTATCTTATATTTACCTTTGATTTTCTCCAAAGGCAAACAAAATAGAAGCAGCTGTTTTGAATGATATTTGAATTGCAAAGAGGCAGGGCAGCCAAAAATTTTGCTTTGTTTTGCGTTGCTGAAAACTTTACTCCCTTCTAAAGAGCATATGGTGTTCTAAGCATTGGAACGAGAGTGGCTGTCAGAATTCTATGGAAAATGAAACACATGTTAAAGAAAAAAAAAAATGTTTGCTTCCCTGTGTGTATAAACAGAACACACATCCTCAGCACCGTACCACCTCACACTGTCACTTGGCGGAAACCAGAGTTGGTGGCATACTTCTATTCTGGGTCTCTAAATAAAATTTGGCAAACATCCCTACCTTTTTCCAGGTCACTGACTCAGAAAAACTCCCTCCAGCATGCCTAAGAGCAGCATGAGTATGGGTTTTTGGAGTCAAGCAAACCTGGATTTGAAACCTGCCTTGTGGCCTTACTTGTCCCGCGACCCTGGGCAAGTTAGTAACACCCCTGAGCCTCCAGGCCTGCTCTGTAAAATGGGGCCAAGTATAGTTTCCTCATACGGTGGCCAAAAGGACAAAATAAAATGGTCTTCTACATAAAGTATCAAAGCAACTACAGAACACAAGTAAGATGGTGAGCCTTAAGGGCCCTGGTGGCATTTAATCTAGTCCGGGGAAATCCTGGTCGTTTGCCTAAATCACCCACATCGAGAAGCATCCTAGGGACTTGGGTCCGCTCTCAGGCAGGTCTGGGCAGGTGGGGCTCAGAAGCACATCAGGCACCGGGCAGGATGGTCGGTACCCTGCCTGGGGTGAAGAGTTACGCACACGATATCCTTGCCACTGCTGCTCCAATTATTATCGTCTTTGACCCCAAAGTCCAGCCAGCAAATACACCGTTCCGAGGTGTCCTCACCAGTTAACCGGCTTGCAGCCTCCTCGCTGTACCCCAGACTCCCTGCTCCCGTGCTGGCCGTCTTGGTCATGAGCCCTCAGTTACCATCACAGGATGGCCTTTGGCCCAGGTCAGCCTCACGTGCTACTGGGGGCGGGGGGGACCTTGTCACACAGCCCCCCGCCGGGGGTTGCAGGGCTACCCCTGCCAGGCCCATCCCCCAGTCCCATTGGCGCTGCAGGAGGGGAGAGGGGTGCCCAAGGAGCTTCTGGAACTTGGGGTGGGGCAGGCTAGGTGATGGCACAAAGCCTCAGCCTTCACTTTTGCGTGACTGGAAGAAAGGGAAAAGATGTGGGATGGTATCACAGCCGGCGGGTCCTCCCAGAGCCCAGTCCAAGCCATTTGTCACAGGGAGCACTGTTGTGAAAGGCAGGGCTCCGCGGAACCAGGAAGCAAGAAACCATGCACAAGGTTAGAGGTTTCCCTGTGCTCCAAGGCTTTTTTGACTTTTGCATAAAGTGGATTCGAATTCGTCTACACCCTCCTGCCTCCCACGCTGCACAAACTGCAACTCCAATCTGTCCCTCTGAACTCAGCCCTCACTGCTGAGCTGTTGGTGTCTCTGGTCTGTTGGGGACCCCTCCCTGAGTCTGTTCAAGATGCTTTTTCCAGTTACTGCTCTTGCAGGCTACCAGGAGCAGCATTTCTCATGCATGATCTCAGGTACGGCTCAAAACCTGGGAGCTAAGCAGGCTGGGCATTGAGACCCACTTACAGATCTGGAAACTGCGGGCCAAAGTCCCAAACCTGGAAGATGCAAGACCCAGAGCCAGGCTTCCTGACCCAGTCCAGGTCTTCCTTCTGCCTACACTGAGCTCCTGGCTTCCAGCCCCAGCTGTGTGACTTCTGCAGGACAGGACTAGAGGAGATAATGCCTATTCAGGCTTTCCATCCTACAAAACAATGTAGTAATTAAAAAATCATTCTCACTTCATTTGCATTACTTAAAATGAGGAGCTTCAAATGTGTTATAATTATCAGTGTGGTTTCTTTCCTTTCCCAGATTATTTCCTTGGGACATATAACCCAAAATGAAATGCCTGAGTATTAAAAGTGGTGAACTACTTACTTCATAGATCTCACTGTATATGGCCAGTTCCCAGAAAGACGAAGCCAAGTTACCAGACTACCCTAATACTTGTTTCTATATAGTCCAACTGATTTGTTGTGTTTGCAATTTTATTGTTTTTTTCCCCCTAGATTAGTTTATTTATTTCATTCAGAGGAAAAAAAAAATGCCCATGGAGAGAATTGTGAAGTTTTGGAAACTGTATCACAAATGGGAACCCCTGCATGCTCCTCTGTACATCCTGTTTGGTAAGGCAGAGTCTGAGTCAGCCAAAGCTACTGGAGGAAATCTCCCTGAAAAGGGCCCTAACAATACCAGTGAAGTCTGCAAACAGCTGAGCAGCAAGAGGGCCGTCCTAACTCAACTTCAACGCAGTCACGATCCACTGGACATGGACGCTTCAATTCCAATCCCATGGTTATTGAGAGATAGGGGAATTTTAACTGAAGATGTGTTCCTAGATTCAAAACAGATAATATGTTTTAAAGAGGAGTTTACATGGAGGAAACTATGGTTCTATGGCATTCGGTGGAAAGAGAGATGTTGGATGAGCCTCTGAACATGCTAAATCCAGTTCCATGCATACGAATTTCACAATGAAATGTATTTACTTCTTATGCTAACTCTTGAGTTAGAAGGTGGCGGCCCTATCAGGTAGCCGCGGTCAAAATACCAGTTGTGAAAACTGAGACAAGTGAGTTGACAAAAGTTCCTGAGAAGAGCAATTTAAATCACCTGTCAAAAACCGTTATTGGACGGGGCGCCTGGGTGGCTTAGTCGGTGAAGCGTCTGCCTTCCGCTCAGGTCATGATCCCAGGGTCCCCGGATGGAGCCCCACCCGCTTGTCCCTCTCCCTTTGCTCCTCCCCCTGCTCTCTCTCTCGCTCTCTCGCTCTCTTTCTCTCAAATAAAATTAAAAATTAAAAAAGAAGTAGCAAGGGCGCCTGGGTGGCTCAGTTGGTTAAGCGACTGCCTTCGGCTCAGGTCATGATCCTGGAGTCCCGGGATCGAGTCCCACATCGGGCTCCCTGCTCAGCAGGAAGTCGGCTTCTCCCTCTGACCCTCTTCCCTCTCATGCTCTCTGTCTCTCATTCTCTCTCTCTCAAATAAATAAATAAAATCTTAAAAAAAAAAGAAGTAGCAAATGTGGAGTACTTGGGTTTTACTAAGTGTTCAGTAAATATTTGTTGAGTGACTGATAGAAGTGTGATAACCTGTAGGCTGATTGACTGATGTGACGTCCTTAAGCAATATCTTGTTCCTCGTGGGCACACAGCTTTCGCAGCCCTCGAGAAAATGGTATGTTCATAACTTCAGTCCTAGGCAATTTTATGTCACATGCTAGAGTCTTCCTAAAGTGACACCTGCCGTGCCCTACATCTTCTCAGGATGTTACTCCAGAGCATAGGCAAAGCAGCCCGCACATTAAAATAAACAGAGTTGGAGCACCTGGGTGGCTCAGTCGTTAAGCAACTGCCTTTGGCTCAGGTCATGATCCCAGGGTCCTGGGATCGAGCCCCGCATCGGGCTCCCCGCTCCGCGGGAAGCCTGCTTCTCCCTCTCCCACTCCCCCTGCTTGTGTTCCCTCTCTCGCTGTGTCTCTCTCCGTCAAATAAATAAAATCTTTAAAAATAAATAAATAAAATAAACAGAGTTCCCACTCACAAGTGCATTTGTAAAACCTTTGAAATTTGCATCAAAGAACTATGTAAAACAATCTGTGATTATGGTTTCTGGTGAGTTTCCCATATCTTCGGAGACTAAGCTGAGGGGACCCAATGCGTTCCAGTTGGTGCTGAAATCCTAGCCATCACCAAAATCTGGTAAAATATTAAACTGGACATCAATTCAATCCATTGCATTGATAAGTGAATAAGTGAAACAGGCCACATACTTTCTGAGCATATCCTCTCATGGATTATTCCGCTGTTTTTCCAAGACAGCCAACTAAAATATATATTATTGTGAGCTAAAAGAGTCCTTCAGCTTGAAATTGCCTTAAATCACCATTCTGAAAAATTCCTATCAAAAAAAAAAAGCTTGCACAGGGAAAGCTTGCTTACTCTCTGCACAAGCACAATTGAATTAAAAATTCGTCTGTTATAATGCCTATACTCTACACGGTGAGGTGGATTCCTAAGGATAAGAAAGGTCACTAAAGGGGCCCCTGGGTGGCTCAGTTGGTTAAGCAGCTGCCTTCGGCTCAGGTCATGATCCTAGGGTCCTGGGATCAAGTCCCGCCCGCATCGGGCTCCCTGCTCAGCGGGGAGTCCGCTTCTTCCTCTCCCTCTGCCCCTCCTCCAGCATGTTCTCTCTCTCTCACTTGCTCACTCCCTGTCTCTCAAATAAATAAATAAAATCTTAAAAAAAAAAAAGGTCACTAAACCCACCATGCTCTGAGATAAACAGAATCATCCAACTTTGGTGTGGTCATTCCTGCCCAGGCTCAAATTCTTTTATGTATACTATTTTGATGATTTTTGATGATTCAATTAGGAGAACTCGGGGATGGGAACTGAGATCAGGAGACACCATCTCCCCATCAACCATCAAGAGTGTACCCAGAGTGGGACGCATGGGTGGCTCACTCAGCTGAGCGTCTGACTCTTGATCTCAGTTAGGGTCTTGATCTCTGGGCCGTGAGTTCAAGCCCTGCATTGGGCTCCAGGCTGGGCATGGAGCCTACTTAAAAAAAATTTTTTTCTTAAAAAAAAAAAAAAAGAGTGCACCCAGAGAGAAACTATTTCTGTGAAGAAGAACAAAGCAGAGGGCATTTGGGAGAGAGCCAGATTAATGCCTTTCTCGAGACTCACTGTCGTTATTATTAGGAGTACAGGACTCCAACCCACTGCAACATGACTTTGATGCCCAGCAGTCAATTCAAACAGATTAAATAAATCACTGCATGCGAAGTGTTTAAAACCATGCCCTTCGATGCCAGTTCTTCAGTGCTCCCTAGATAGCCTCTCCCTTTCCCTCTTATACCCTGAGCGGCTCTCAGCTACTCCCAGGGCTTTGTCTACCAACAGTATGCTGTGGGGTGCCAAATCTCTATCTTCAGATATCCAAATGCCCCAGACGTATGGTCCCCCGGAGCCTCTGAAACTCAGCATGATCACGGCAGAATCCATCTCCCTGTCATCACTCCCTGTGCCTCTGCTCACATCCCTCAACACTTGTAATGACCTCCATCTGCTAAGCTACGAGTCAACCTGCTGAGCCTTCCCTCTTAAAAAAAAATCAATTTATCACTAAGTCAGTTTGGGCTGAGAACTACCTCTCAAGCCATCCCACTATTGTTAGTGAGCTAATCGCTGGTGAGAACGTCCCTGACAGCCTTCAGATCGAACCCCCTGCCTCTCGCCCCACCGGGTTGGCCTCTCCTTTGCCATCAGAGTCGAATTCTCTTGCTTAGAATCAGGGATATCAGGCCACAGACCTCACCCTGGGGTCATGACCACCTTTCTCAGCACTACCTACTGCCCTTCTTGGCCTTGAACCCTGCACATGAGTCCAGAACAAACCATCCTTTTCCATGCTTCTAGGCTTTCCCCCACATTGTCCTTAATTGGAATATCCTTTTCTCTACGTGTCTGCTTACTCACTCCTGAAGGCCTGGCTTAGACACTGCTACAGGGCCTCTGGCTAATCTTCCCAACCACGGACGGACTTGGCTTCTTCTGCCCCACAGTATCCTGTTTCTACCGATAGCTCGTTTCCCAAACTTAATCGTAAAACTCTCAAGGGGTATTCGTTGAAAATACAGATTCCCAAGACCAACCCCAAGAGATTCTGATTCTGCTGGTCTAGGGTGAGGCCCAAGAAACTGAGGTTGGTTGGCTGGCTGGTTTTCAAAGTGCCTCAGAGGATTTTAATGCATAGGCAAATCTAGGCACGGCTAACCTATGTTAGAGAATTCATATTAATTGTAGTTATTTGTTGACATGTCTGTCTGCCTCACCA